AGAGAATGACATATGGTCTGAAATGGCAAAACATTATATTCCTTAATAGATTGGATCCAATGACAGAAGATGATGAATTGACGACCCTTAACACTCCAATGTATGCGGGCTTGGCCTCAAATCCAGACGTTGCTTGTTTTGTTATTCTAATTACCAGCTTCAGAAGTTAGACTAAGCCCCCATACACTGGAGTGCAGAGAAGCCATTATTTACCAAAGTTATTTCATATTCTCGATGTTATTCAATCATAGCAAAGTCATCTCAATCTTTACCGTTTTTGACGTCCAAATCTTTCTCTAGTTTTCGTATAGCTTCGTCTTTTTCTTTCAACAATTCGTCTCGTTTATCGAGCTTGATCTTAGCAAGCTCAAGCTCCTTACTGGACGTCTCTAGAGCCGACTGTAAATCCATCATGATCTCTTCCTGAAAATCAACAAAACAAAACGTTATGAAAAATGAATTGTAAAGATATACATTTTTAATTTGATTGATTTGAATTAATTACTTTCTCTAGATTTCTCTAGAACTCGTGTTTTTGTTGTTTTTGTTTTTTCTCGTTTTTTTCTTTTGAAGATTGACAAACGTTTAATTTTTGTGAAAGTAACCTCGATACAAGTGAATCAAACTCTCTCTACCTGTGCTTTAAATCGATTCTCATCCTCTTCGATAGCAGATTTCAACTCATTCACCTGTGCTGTCAGTTCCTGAAAAAAAAAAAAAAAAGAATACAGGTGATTGGGTAATAAGCCACTTTTTGAGCCTTAAACAAAGTGAATTTTGGTCTATCTTGCGTACATTCATCGCCATGTAAAACGTGATGGTCAAAACATATTTGTACCCAAACTAGACCACTTGCATTTGCTATCAGTCAGTAAAAGCCAAAAAAGTTGCATTCTGGTATAGTTTGGGTAAAATAATCACAGTCGACAGAACCAAAGTTACAGCCATTCTCAATCACACGCGCCGCTCTAGCGATTGTTTCTGTGGCGACGAAGAAGCTTTTGGTGGACGTCAATCAATGCGTTTCAATGACATTCTATAGGCAAGTGCCCTTATAGCTTTGTTTTTTCCGACAATGTTGTGAAAACGCCTTGTGATTGACGTCCACCAAAACCTTCTTCGTCGGGACAGAAACAATTGCTAGAGGGCGCGTGTGATTGAGAATGGCTGTAATATGCAATTACCTCGACTTTTACCCGTTCAGCATGAAGTTGAACGCTTGGGACCCATTCTTCATCCTCGTCTTCCTGTTTCTCAATGCGCGCACGTTTACGAGTCTTCTTGATGGACTTGGCTAACAATTCAATCCTACGCTCACACTTCTCTTCTACAGCTGTTACCTCCTCTTGAATTCTCTCGCTAAAAAAAGATTCCTTCTTTAACTACGTTTTCAATTTTTTTGTTTTTGTTTCAAAACTTGTCATACATTTTTGTTGCAAGTTTCAGACAAATTTGCATGTCTCGATGGGTTCCTATAAGGATTTCAGAGTCATTGTGAGACTGATTTCAAGTTGGATTAATCTTACCTGTATGCCGATTCAATAGCAACCAGTTGCTCAGCCATCTCCCCACACACTTCTTCTCGGATTTTTACCTCTAACATAGCTTTGGACTTCTTTTCTTCGATGAGCTGTTCTTGTAAGACTCTCACAAGGTTCTCAAGTTGCTGTGGTAAAAAAAAAAACTGAACGTGAATTTTCATGGACGGAGCATTACACGTATTTTTCAAACGAAATCATCGTTTGGTAGCTTTCATAGGATATTCCCATCAAGAAAGAAAAAAACCAATAGCTCACCTTCTGGTAAGAGACGACATCATTCTCTTCATCCTCTTCTTCATCTTCATTGATACGTTCACATCTTCCACCTGCTGGGGTACTTAGTGCACCATTCTCCCAGGGGATTGACATCCTGGCTGCTTTTGATTGGACGGGGAAAGCAAATGATGCGCGGAAACTCTTTTCGACGGGAGGGAGCATGTCTGACGGCTTGCATACCTTGGTCGTGACCTAAAAATGTTTGTAAGACTTTACACTCATATTTCTTTACTAGGTGGAATGCATATGAGTATACGTTTTGATTTCCCATTGTAAGACTTTTACAGCAATATCATCTGGGCTGATCTAAGTCAGGGCATAGAATTGAACTTATGGGTAGCATCTTGGTTAATGCGTCGCCTTTCACCACTGTGAATCCAACGGGTCGGGTCGCTGGTTTGAGCCCGGCGGTCGTCACGTGTGAATTGAGTTTGTTTGATGTGTTGTTCTCTCCTATGCTACAAGGGTTTTCTCCGGGTTCTCCGGTTTCCTCCCTCCGTAAAAATCATTATGTGAGTTGAGCGTTGTGTGCGTAAAATATTGAATGTAGTGGTAGTGCGTATGAGCGAATCGAGTGTCCCCATTTAGTGCAAGAGCGCTAGAACGACTAGACACTTACATAAAGATGGAACTTTTTTAAATTTTTTTATAGCTAACTCGTAAATAGAATTGGAAATTAGCTTGTTAGGTTTTGAAGTGAGGAAAACTGGAGAAAAAACCCTTGAATCAAGAGAACAAACTCTACACAGTCACATGTGATGCCGAGTCCAGGAATTGAAGCCAAGACCCCATAAGTGAGAGAGAAATACACCACCCATTATTATCATCATGTTACACACATAACTAACATGAGTGCGTGTTGTCGTATACCTGTTTAGCAATGGCTGAAAACTTGAGGGCGTGGTAGGTCTCATCGAAAGTAGCAGCACACTGGTTGATATTGACAATCATGGATGCCTTGCCTTTACCACAGAAGAATCCCTGGAACAACCGAGTCAGCTTGCTCTCTCTGAAGGGGATTATCTGTGGGTGATTCCTGGAAAAATGTGGTAGATTCATATAAGAACCTACGTAATAGGTAAATTACGAGCCTTGTATGAAACGACTGAAGAAGAGGGCCAATGGGCCTTTCACAACTTCAAGTCGCATAAAAAATGAGCCAGCTCAACTAGAAACCCTGGACAGCTGTTTTGGCCTGTATTGGGCCTCATCAGCACGGTGTATCTAGTGAGATGGTAGAATCCCACGAAAAAGTAGTACATGTTCCCCTGTGGTAGATTCATATAACCTCCTTGCTTTGCGGCTTGTATTAATGAAACCAACATAATTTTCATTTGTGAATGGAGTTTTTGAACAAAACATCACGCCACACAGATCAATAATGTGAGTTTCAAAGCAAGATGGAAATCAAACTTTGAATAATAAACTGAATCTTTGAACCTCGAAAGCAACACATCAGTGGGTTTCACTGTAAAGTATTTTTTACACATATTTAACCACAGTCTTCCTTGCTACGCACTGATAGAGACAAACATTTCTACAGGTTAATCGGCAGTAGACTACCATTCATTTAATAAATTATATAGCAGGGTTTCCATGTAGCTTTAAGTATTCTGACAATGTATTTGATTGACAAGAAATCTGTGGTACATGTTAGAGTGCTTTTACGACCACACTTATTGGAATTACTTGACCAACAAGAGGTAGGAGAGCTCCAGTTTAAATCATAATGTACTTACTGGTGTAACTGATTGTACCGCAGACAGTCTAAACATTTCCCTAGAGTCATGAGAGATGTATTGATGTTCCCAGCTTCTTTGAGTCGATCCCCTGTGTTCTGGGTCTTGGTGTAGCGTTCTGATCCAGCAAGATCAACAAAGGATAACCTGCAAACCCATTATAAACGCTAATGAATAAACAATCGTAATAGTTATCTAAAGCATTCCTCAAGCATGGAATCCTGTTGCTCATCGTAAGCCAAGGTTAGTTTATACTGTACTTGGTAAAGCAATTTATGAAAACCTTGAATGAAAGGACGGAAGAAAGAAAGGGAGAGAGGATGCAAGTAAGGAAGGAAGCAAGGAAGGAAGCAAGGAAGCAAGGAAGGAAGGAAGGGGTTGACAGATGGGCTCAGAGCATGAAAAAGATGAATGCACAGAGGACTGCATGGGATGCTCAGCTGGATAGATATCATAAATGAACAGAACAGTATGGCATTACCTGCTAACCCTAGCTGCATGAGGATTTTCTACATCTACAACTCTAAGCACTTTTATAGTGAAGATACAATGGCTGGAAAATGAAGAAAAGAAATATACTTTAATTTTTTTTTAATGAAAGACTTATCATACTAAATATATTATTAGAGGAAGTGAATACTCAGTCTCCCGATTCAGGAGCATGGGTCTGAATGAAATTGAACAAACCTTTCCCAAATTTACTTGAATTCACTTGAATACAAAACAATATGGCTCCAAGTCGATTAGTTGGACTTGATGTGTTCATACATTCGCTGTATCTTATCAAGACCATCCTTGACTTAGAACCATGAAATTCGGGATTTGGAAATTGAATTTTGCAAATGGAGAAAATTGAATTTAAAAAGTTGTCCAAGTGTGGGATCCATTATTAACCTTTGTTATTTTTTCTGCTCATTTTACTGCTCAGATTTAAAAAGCTCGTATTTTTTTCAACACGATAGTATTCTAGATCTAAAATATATTTTCATCACTGCAGCAGAAGTAAGCCTCACTATTACATAACATTAAATGCTTCAAAGCACAAGGTGCAACAACAGGGAAGCTAAATGTATGTGGTTGATGACAAATAATAATAATAATAATAATAATAATGGATCTCTAATGATCTCATAATAATGGTTTCTCTGTTTCTCTGTTGGAACTCTATTTCATCTTGATTGTAGTTAACATAAATTATAATCTACCACCCGCTGGAAGAAATCAAAGACACATTATTCTATGCAAGATGAGTGCGGAAAGAATACACCATGGTAGAACAAGTTGATCTTAGCTTCATGTACTATATACTCAATTGATAACTTTTAGTATATTTCATCTTTTTTTTTCTGTTTTGTATCATACACCTTTTATAGATTATTGAAAATTCTTCTTTATTTTATTTTTGTATCATACCAATTTTATGGATGTAAATACTATATATTATACTTAGTCCACATTGCCCAGGCTAAGCCCGCAATGACGTTGATACATTTAGTGAGATTTTATCAATAAAGTAAACCATAATAATAATAATAATAATAATAATAATAATAATAACAATAATAATAATGTTTATACAGGAAGCTCTCATCACCAAGGTGTTTTTTTTAGAGAGGTCCTGCAAAACATTATTTCTTCCCGCGATTATTGTCAGGAAAATTCAAGAATATTTCTCTATATCTACCTTTGTTTAAGCTCCTGTTCAAAGCTAGGAACTTAGTTTAGTGCATCTTTGTCACTATTTTTGTTAAAAAGACTCTTACCCCATTCACACCAAAGCTTAAACATGTTTAAAAGTGGTTTAACTATAAACAGGTTTGGAAAACTATCTATGAATACTGCACAATATTCGGTAAAATAATGCATGTAAACTATCCTTTGTCTTGCTCTGACGATATTTTAGAAAATTTCATTATATTGTAGGTCTCTAGTCTTTTTCCCCCCTCATAAAATACAGTTTAACTAAACATGTTTAGGTGTGAATGGAGTATCTGACTGCTTAAAACTTGGTTATATAACTTGCATAATTACCTTCTGCTTGATGCTTGATTCAGCTTGGTGGCCGATATTCTTTGATTCTTCTTTCCAACCCTGAGTATCTGTTTCACAATAATATTGTTGATTAGAAAAATTAAGATCATTCGTTATGAGCCCAAATTTCTGTGACAAACACATTCAGCCAAATAAACGCTGATCAGTCACCAGCAGCCAGCATCTGCAAATCCAAAACTAGAACTCCAAGCAATTTTTTTTACAAGTTTTTTTTAGTTAATTAAGGCAAGGAAAAAAATATGCACATATTGGTTTCACTACCTTATAAGCTTCATCAGCACTGGAAACGCACACTTCTCTCAAGCCTGCAAAAAATATTGAATAATGTAAATGCCTCTGGATTTTTGTCTGGAAATGGTTCCTGATCATACATGTATATTGATCCGATGAGTCTAATGTGGCAACTCACTCATATCATATCAATATCTGTCCATTGAGCTGCCAATATTTAGGGACGGACCATTAGATTTTTGATAGGGGGGGGGGGGGAGTTGGGCAATAACCAAACAAATATTCGAGCACAACTTTAAAGATGGAAAAAATTGTGCATTAGAAAAGTGCCAGGAAAAAAAAATTTCCTACACAAAATAAATTTCCCCCCCCCCCCCCCTCAAAAATCTAATGGTCTGTCCCTTATAGCCCTACAAAATAACCAACCCATGTCAAATTAATTTTTGTGAAGGGTGTTACTTACCTTTGACATAAGGATTCCCATTTTTGTCATCTCCAAGTTTCAGAGTGACCCTCTTCTTTCCTTTCCCCTCGGGGCACGGCTCAAGCAGATCAAAAATTAACTCATTGTAGATTTCAGCAAAGGAAATCCAGACAGAAAACTTGACGGGTCCTTGGGCGTCAACACTGAGAGTTGTGTTATCCACTAGTCTTGATGTGTCTTCGTCTTCTGTTATATCATGATCTACAAAAAAGAGATCCATCATTTTCCATCGACAACTTCAGCTGAGAAAAGGCAAACTCGAAATCAAGGTACTGCTTTAGCAGTGTAGGTTATGTTATTGAGAACAATTTTTACTTTGTTTTTGCAACTTTTATGAGCAGTTGGATACGGAAATATGTCACAATTCAATAGCTTTAAAGAGATTGTTATGTACTACCTGTTGTCTCTCCATCTTGGCTTTTTAATGATGCTTGAAGTAAAGAGTCTTCTATAATACTTCCTTTGGAAAAATCATTGGAATCCTCAAGTTGAAGGAATGAATTGAGATCAAACTGCTGTGGATTAGAATTAATGTTGGCTATTAACTTATACAAATACACCATGAACGGTAATGAAAACCGACTAACTACTAACTCAGCTCACAGATTGAACCCTGAATCAACCTCTGGGCTGATCTAAGTCAGGGCACCACTAACTCAGATCAAACCCTGAAACAACCTCTGGGCTGATCTAAGTCAGGGCACGGCATGGATTTCTGGGGTGTCTACTAACAATCAAGAGCCATACAATCTCTTTTTTCACAAAATCACAAGATTTTTAACTGTACTTTGTTAGGGGAAATTTAAGTTAGACATTTCAAAGCAAAAAGCGTGTTCTCACCTCTTTATTGAGTGACATTAGAAGTCCATTCCGTAAAGCCCCCTCCATGTGTTCTTGTTTTTCGTTTATTTTAACCACATCGCAGAAGTATCTTGGCTTCAGATTCATGCGAGGGTATTGTTTGTTCTGTATGCTATTGAACAAGACATCTAGAGTCCTTGGTAGGATTCCCCCATCCTTTGGTGTTCCTTGAATTGTATATGTCTGAGAAAAGAAAATAAACACATTTGAGATGAAGGAAAAAAAGATTTGATGTACATGAGTTTCAATTATGAGGAACGATCAAGTTTGCATAGCAGTAGTACACTCGCCTCTCACCTCTGGGGTCTAAGGATTGATTCCTGGATTTGGTATGATACATTATGTATATGAATACAGTAGTTTGCTATGGTCTGTGAGTTTGCCGTGCCCTGACATAGATCAGCCCAGAGGTTGTTTCAGGGTTGGATCTGTGAGTTATCCATGCCCTGACTTAGATCGACCCAGAGGTTGTTTCAGGGTTTGATCTGTGAGTTAGCCATGCCCTGACTTAGATCAGCTCAGAGGTTGTTTCAGGGTTCTATTTGTGAGTTAGCCATGCCCTGACTTAGATCAGACCAGAGGTTGTTTCAGGGTTTGATGTGTGAGTTAGCCATGCCCTGATTTAGATCAGCCCAGAGGTGGTTAAGGGTTTGATTTGCGGTGCCCTGACTTAGATCCTAAGTCTAATATGAAACTAAGGGAAACATAATAAATAAATTTTAAAAATCTAGTTAAGTTATATGAAGAAAATCAGAACAATATCTGTTTACTTTTGGGTCCTGGGATATTAAAATCACAACACACCTTCCCAGAATTTGTGATTCCATAAGTAAAAACCAGACAGTTCTGTCCATCCATAAAATCCTTCAACAGATTTAAATTCGTGTCGTCAAAGAACTGTTTCTGTGTTGTTTCTGGTCCAAAAACACGAGAAAAAGTAAAGCGATGTGTCACTTCTCGCCCACGTTTCTCATTCTTGAAGGTGAAGGAATCCTTTGGCGCGTTCAAATTTATAGCAGAATCTCCGTCGATCTCCATGCAATCTTGATCCTGAGATAGATCTTTCTCTTCTGCTGAGAAAGGACGAATTCTTAGGTAGACTTTCATGCACTCTCGACCATTATTTTCGAGTACATTAGAGTTAGTTTTTTCAATATCAGCAAACTCGCCCAACAAGTTTTTGCGAATCCCGCCATTTTCTAGTTGCTCTTCTAACTCCTCTTCTGCGTCATCTAGGCCTTCTTCGCCGTCTGAAATGACCTCAAATGGCTGGTCAGGCATTATTGACTCGATAAGAAGCTCTTAGGGTGAAAATATTTGGTAAAAGTCGCTGAATTTTAAGTAAATTGGACATAAATTTTCGGTAAAACTAAAAACACTTTCTTCTCGAAGTTCGTCTGCAAAATTTGAATCCCGTCACGTTATGGGAGGTTTGTTCTGATTGGTTAAAAGGGAATTGAATCAGCCAATCAGAGTACACTATTTGTAAGACCGCTGAGTTTTGGGCTTGTTTTCTCTATGTGGGCTCCCTGTGATTTCACAAAAAATTTAAAAAATTTGATACGAAAAATTGATTTGAGGACGATTTGTACGGGTTTTTTGCATTATTTTATTCTCAAGTAAGTGTCAAATTAATGAATTGAACATACAATACATATAGGTACAAATTACGATTTTATTGATTTGATTTCTACTACAATAATTTAAGTATAAAAGAGTATGAATCTTGATAATTTTGCTAGTTAGTATTTTCCACTGATTCTTAACATTTAAAAGCTTATGTAAAATTTTTTGTGTATGTATTATTCATATTCCTATCCCACCCCTCCCCCTAATATTTTAACTTAAATTCAATGCAAAGTGCATGCAGTCCTCATAAAGTTTCTATGCACTGGGCTAATAGGTCTCAAGATGCATTATAGGTTAATAAACCTCCTCGACTTGGGCATAATATTTTCCCATATTTTCAGGCTGTGTGTCATTCCCTTGAGAATAAAATTCTTTGTTTGAGTTGTATCCATATTCATGTGTCTTCTCATGTGCAACCAAATGTAATTGTTAAACAAAGAATTGATACTCTAGGGAATAAAATGGAAAAAAAATCTGCCCTAGCTTAGTGGCTAAATAGTCGGTGGCTAACAAAACTATGGCCTTCGTTCTGTGATCAAATTCAAAGTATTAGATGCCTGGGGGGGGGGGGGGGGGGGGTACTCCGCCAGAATTTGGGTAGGGCTGTTCCGCTGGGATTCTGAAAGGGGTACCCTGTTTATGACAAAAGATATAATTTATTGCACTGAGTTCCTGTTTCAATTATCATGTCATCTTGCGTATCGTTTTTTTATGACCATAATAATCAGTTTTGATGCATACGAAAGGAGAAACCCTGAATATGACAGGAAGCTCAGGAAGAACTTGGGGGTTTGCCTTGCTCTCCTTTCATGCTTTTGTTCCAATTCTGTCTTACCAAAGGAAGCCTGAGTAAGGTACTCTTATATCTTAACTGTAAAAAGAAATGTGTGTAACTATAATTTGTAACATCTAATAAAAGTATTTTTTTCTTCAGCTAACCACTTTTTGGCATGTGTGTTTGTGGTTCTGTTTTTTTGTCCCTGCATGGGATTCAACGAATTTTATCCTTGAAGAAAAAAGGAAAGAAAATGGACTGTTTATGCAAGGTAAGTCACATTCTCTATTGCAATCTTTTTCTTAAAGATACATCATAAAAATGTAGAAAAATTAATGTTAATTTCTTAATTATGGAAAGCACAGGTTTCATAGTGACAAGAGCACTCTTAAGTCACCTCTTATCAACATATGCAGCAATCAAACCAACAATTCAATAATGTTTGATTCCTGAAGTCAGTGTCAATTTGCTTGTTAATGCTACTCTGCTGTGCTTTGAGGGTTTTCCTCTGGATTCTCTGGTTTTCCTCCCTCTATATAAAAATCAACGTCTAATCCCCGGGGGGTGGGGGTACTCCTATATATGGACTACATATGGGGATGATCCGCTGAACAGGGTATGGTTTTTCGAGCTTCTTGTCATAAACAGGGTATGCAMTTTCACTCAAGTTCCAAGTTCTTCCCGAGTTTCCTGTCATATTCAGGGTTTCTACTTTCATATTGATCAAAGCTGGTTATCATGGTCCTATAATAATGATACCCGAGATGACATGACAATTGAAACAGGAACTCAGTGCAATAAATTATATCTTTTGTCATAAACAGGGTCTACAAATTTGATTTTTTTTGTCACAAACAGGGTACCCATTTCAGAATCCCAGCGGAACACCCCTACCCAAATTGTGGTGGAGTACCCCCCCCCCCCCCCAGGCATCTAATACTTTGAATTTGATCACAGAACGAAGGCCATAGTTTTGTTAGCCACCGACTATTTAGCCACTAAGCTTGTAAAAAAGAAAGACATTATGATGCTTTGTGTGAGTATTCTCCATCAGTTGGTCGTATGACAAATTTATCAAACACTACATTCATTCCTGCGTTTGTCGGTGCACAGCAGTAAAGTCCTAACTGTATTGGGTGGCCTGTGGATTCCATATGAGTGATTCGCATGAATTTCCATTGGTCGTTACTACCAGACCGAGGTTTATATTCAATCTGTAATTAATCATAAATTATTCTGATCAGTTATCAATATTTGATTTGTAAATATTCAATTATTCCCAAAGAATATATTCTTACTACATAATCGTCATGTATTTTGTGTATTCTAAGGGCTAGTTTGCTGTCATGCCAGTCTTGTGTGGACCAGTCACTCCATTTATTTGTTACCACACAACTTAATCTAAATTTGCCATCCACAAACTCTATTCCCTGAAGAAGAAAAAAGAATTAAAAACAGCAAGTATTAATTATTTGCATTCATCATCACCATCATCACCACCATTATTATCACTATCATCATCATCACCACCATCATCAACATCATCATAATCACCATCATCATCATCATGATTATCTTCGCCACAAAATTATCATCATCACATACCACCTTTAGCCAACCCAATTATCTTACCGTTTTCATCCATTTCTCATTTCCCATTCTGATCATAATGCCTGCCTACCAACAAAAATATCAAATGAATTATATACTTCATCATCACAAACGAAAATAAAAATTTATTAATATCTTTAATTTTAATCCAATACCATGATCAAAAGATTATACATTCACCTGATCAAACTGATTGAAAGCTGTCAAATCAAATGACGTCTCTATAATACACATTTCCTGTTTAACCACCAGATGTAACAAGTGACCATTGTCTTTGATTATCTCTGGTTTATAGTACGTTCTTTGGGAGAAGAAAAACAAAATAATAAATAGACTAKTTACTTGAAAACTCAAGTATTTGTCTAAGAGGAGATAGGTCGGCACAGAAAATACCCTATTAATTCAGTAAATTACAATAATAGTGTAGTTTTCATGTGACTGAAATTAGCTCGCGGCATGAATGCAGTCATGGCATGGTAAGGCAATGCCACCAGACCAATCACACATATTGCGTGATAATTTACTCTCCATCCAATCAAATGCCTGGAGCATGGTACAAACATGACATGGACACTGTCATGCCAAGGGAAATGCCAGACCAATTAGATTTTGATGGGGAAATCAGCCAATCAAAGTTTTTTAGACATCTGCATAGTTGTGGCAAGGCAAGACAGCACTAAGCTTTTCACAGTACTGTGATACAAAAACTGCTCTGTCTGGCAATAATGGTGCTAGGGAAATATTATTTATTCCTCCCTCCTTCAAGAAGAAGAACTTTATTTGTACCCATTATAACATTATTTTATAATTTGATACATTATTTATGTTAAACAGATTGAGGGGTACCTACTTCCAAAAATAACTAGAAAGCTAAAAATGATTGGAAGTCGGTTTACATATTCTTAATTAAAAGTCATTACATTTAGGGTCGGGATTTCTGCTATTTACAAATATAATAATGAGATCTTCCTGTGAGATATGGAAGAAGAGGGGATTTAACCTCACTGATTTGGGCCTAAAACATTTCCACAGCTTGTTAGTTCCAAAGTATTTGAAGCAGACTCTACTCCTGAGCAAGTTTAGAAAATAATGCTACTTGACTTTACTTCCATATATTTCAAATCACTTACCGACGCCAAAAGTCAGTCTTCCCGTACTAAAATTTAAAAAAGAAAATAGTGATAGTAGTAATAAAAATAGAATAAAACAGATAGGCTAAGTCAATACTTTATACAACTTTAGATAAAGAACTTTAATCACGATAAAATCTAAGGTATATAGTAAAAAGCTTGTGGGATCGTGTAAATAAACACAGTTCATCGTTAAAGTTTTGACGTGGAACATCATTTCATACTCTTAAAGTATATAATCTTTAAGCTTGATTTCTCGGGAATTTAAATATTATACTCGTCATCCGATGTTTCTGAAAGCTTTCATAAGCCAAAGTCTAATAAAATAGCGCTGTTGCATCCAGGGTGTTGCAATATAATATTGAACATCATAAAAGTTCTGTACTCACAGGAACGACTTTCATCCCACTAGAACCGTTCTGTCTCGTACGAAACTCAGCCGGTGGATTAAACCACATGAAATCTGGGCCAAGTTTATCGACTTTGAAATCTAAAGCAATACTAAACTCACTTCCGACTCTTGGTAAAGACGCCATGTTTGTTGTCAAACAACAACTATTTATAGGAAAGCTGGAATGGAACTCGAGGACTTGGGAGCGTGAGAATATGTCTGTGACTAACATTTCTTTAGGAGCCCTCTTATTTTTATTTTTCAATGATTTTCGTTTAGTAGCAGGTAAATACTCTGCTTTAGTGGAAAGCAGTATATGAGTTTTCCTGTTAGCTAGCCGTGACTTAATAACTTCGATCTGATCCCATAGGTTATATACCTATTTCTAAAAAGGTTGTAGGCATCGCCAAGGGCGATAGAGAATAGGCAAAAAGCTATAGGTCATAGACCATTTCAAGATCCAAGAATAGCAGGACTGATTTTTGTTTCTGCTTCTTATTCTCGTCAAGAACATGGATTTACTGTACATTGAGACTGATGCAATAATGTTGTATTCAAAGAAACCATTTCTATGATGGAATGACCTATCGCCTATGGCCTTTGGCGATGACAACGTTTTTTGAAATAAGTATATATTGATTACACACGGGGGAAGACAAAAAATGAAATCAGTCTTTCCTGTTCCCTTAGACATGCCTCCTCCCATTTCCCCATTCATATACTCATATGCACACAGGGTGAAGGACGTCACGGTTTGTTTACATCGGCTAAAATGTAAAAATTTAGACTAAATTTAAGCTTAATTCTCTTCTTTCGAGATATTTAGCGTAATATTTAGTTGTTCTTGCCATCACCAGCTCATAAACCAAATTTCATTGTAATTTAAGATGTGTTGTTGTCATTATATTCCATCCCCCTCCAGCGACATGATGCCTAGCATTAAAACAATGGTTTGTTTTGATGTGACGTCATTATGAATTAGGGTATTTCCCGGTATTCCAAGGAAGTGTGCAGATGAGTGAGACTACGTGAAGAAGGGAAAATCTTAAAGAAAAAGTAAGTCAGCCGTAATATCATTACTTTTACTATTAGAAAATGAAACTAAGACGTATTGGATAGAATTTCTGAAAGTATGGGCCTCAACCGGGAACAACTTTAAATGGATATTATTCTGGATGAAGGTCGGGAAGTCGATCGGAGTGGAGGCATTGTGAGCGAGAACAGAATTTCAAAATCGGTCGTGATTTACATCATAAGTGAATTCTGAATTCTTTCAAGACTCTTCAGTATCCAACTGGATCTATAGGAACTCTTAAGAGGGCGTCTCTGTAACAGCGTGCCACTCGATCTGGGCTCGAAAAATAGATTTCTTTTATATTCCTACCATCGAAAGTACTATCTATCCTCACTACAAAATTGCAGTTAGAATTGTTCTAAATTCTTTTTTCCACCCGCTATGCGAATTTTTGTCCATCGACCCCAAACCAGTGAAAGACGCCGATTTTCGAGGTCGGCCGAGGGCTATTTTCAAAGTCTGTTTTCTCGGGTTTCTCTGCACAT